AGCCCCCCCCCCTCCTTCAATGAGATGTTAGGACAGCTGAAATGAATTAGCCTGGGCATTCCAAAGAATCACCTTTTGGCTGAGACTCCACAGAACAAGTCTTGCTTCAAAAGGTTTTCAAAGAGCCGTATGTACAGCAGCCACAGCTCTGTACCTGCTTCTTGATAGGTTACATGTTTAATGAGTTTTAAAGACAGCCTTCTGGTGTTGAAATCATGTTTATTCTGCTCGGTGAACAGAGTTTAGACCTAGTTCATAACCTTTTTATTTATTTAGTTTCATTTTATGTGTATGAGTGTTTTGCGTACATGAATGTACATGCACCCATGTCATGCAATGCCTGCGGAGGTCAGAAGAGTTCGAATCCCAGCACCCACATGGCAGCTAACCACCAAAACTCCAGTTCTGGGGGATCTGATGCCCTCGTCTGGCCTCTGTGGGCATTGCATGACACAGGTGTACTTAACCTACATGCAGGCGATACACACAAATAAAACAAAAACAAGGAGGTGCCGTGTGGTATTACACAGAAAAGGGAGCAGAGGATTTAGGTGTTCTTCTAGTGGAAGTTAAATCTATCAAGTCACAGCCAGAATGTTCCTTTTAAAAATGAGGCAAGAGGCTGAAGAGATGTCTCAGCGGTTAAGAGCACTTGGTCTTCTTGCAGAGGACCTGAGTTCAGTTCCCAGCCCCTATGTAGGATGGCTCACTAACACCTGTAACTCCAGCTTCCAGGGAATCAGTGCCCCCTTCTGGTCTTCATGAGTGTGCGTGCGCGCGCACACACACACACACACACACACACACACACACCTTTAAATTTTAAAAAGAAGGGTCAGGCATGGTGGCACATGCCTTTCATCCTCAGTACTCTGGAGACAGAGGCAGGTGGATATCTGTGAGTTTGGGCCCAGCCTGGTCTACATAGCAAGTTCTAGGCTGTCTAGGGCTATATAGTGAGTTCCAGGATAGTCTGGTCTACATAGCAAGTTCCAGCCAGGACACAGTGAGACCCTGTCTCAAAAGACAATACTACACTACTACTAAGGCTGCATTATTTCCCCACTTGACTCTTCAGCAGAATAATGCTTGCTGGGGTTCTGGCTCTCAAGCTCCAAGAGCCAAAGACAATACTACACTACTGCTAAGGCTGCATTATTTCCCCACTTGACTCTCTTCAGCAGAATAATGCTTGCTGGGGTTCTGGCTCTCAAGCTCCAAGAGCTCTCTCCACCCTCACTGCACTCTGTGGGACCTGCATCCATTCCCGTCCCGTTCACTCTATCTTATCCATAGCAGCCTTCTTGATGTCTTTTGAAAGGTGTGTCTCAGGGCCTTTTCACTGGCTCCTTCTACCACAAGAACCTCTTTCTTGGATACCCCTGTGACTTACTCAGCATCTCCTTTGAGTCTTTGCTCAGAAGTCATCTCTTGGATCTGCTGAGTGTAGGGAGGGTGTTTGAAGAGATGTCATACCTTCCCAATTCTCCAGCCTCACTCCACTGCCTGACATATCTGTCATTTTTCTGCCCTTCTCTGAAAGGCCAGGAGCCTGTGAAGGTGGAGATAGTTGTTTTGTTTATGTGTATATATGCACATGTGTACATGTGTGTACACCCATGCTGCACACATATGAAACTGGCAGGCACCGAATAAAGAGCCCCTGTTTTTGTTACTACTGTGTTTATATGTGTGTGTGTGTGTGTGCACATATAGAATGTAGGTGACTGATAAATAATGAATATATGATTAAAAGACTATCAACCTGTTGAATGGATTTAAAGCCAATAAAGATATGGAAATTTACCTACAAAGCATTGTAGAGAAGTTTTAAATATTTCCAGAGAATTTTAGGATGGAGTTGAAGTAAGCAAAAGGCTGACTAGTCCCTGTCCACTGCGTTGTAACCAGCGCTGTCCAGTGGGGACATGTAGAGAGCTCATGTTTCATGGTTCTTCATTGTATCAGAGACAGCATGCCTGTCCCATAATTCCTTCCTCATCTCTTCTCTCTCTCACTCCACGTCAAACACCAGTTCTTTCCAATCATATTTACCTGAGTCATTAGAACTGTGAGGAAAAACCGAAAGGAAAGCAGCTATTTGAAAGAGAGCGAAAAAATGGGAGTGAGCGAAACCAGCTAGACCTGTGCCTAACCTGGACCATGGTCAGTCTCTTCCACGTAGGTCACTGTAGCCTCTTGCTCTATGCATACATGTTATTGAGTCTTCCTCCATTATACATTTCAGCTGAAGCAACCTTTCTCCCACAACTCATTCCTCCCCCTTTATCTTTCCTTAAGGTATGAATCTGAACCCTCTGTTACCTAGAAGAGACTGATGTGATGAATTAAATAGATTTCCTCCAAATTAATGCATCCTTTCGCTTTCTCCGGTGCTTACTGTGTTTGGTGTACAATTCACTTAGTACGCAGTTTTCTCTCCTCGTTTTAGAGACAGCTTTTTATTCTGTAGTCCAGGCTGATCTGAAACTATGGGCAGTTCTCCCACCACAGCCTCCCAAGTGCTGGGATTACAGGTGGCAGACACCGCGTTTGTCCCACTGTGTGTGTTATTTTCTAGTCTCCAGTAACCATACAATTTAATAGCCAGGGACTTATTCTGTAGTCCAGGCTGATCTGAAACTATGGGCACTTCTCCCACCACAGCCTCCCAAGCGCTGGGATTACAGGTGGCAGACGCTGCGTTTGACCCATGTGTGTGTTATTTTCTAGTCTCCAGTAACCATACAATTTAATAGCCAGGGACATTGCTATTAGTGTGTTTACTGGGCCTTTTCATTTTTCCTTGGATGTGTGTTGTATTGATTCCTTTAAAAAAAAACATTTTATTTTTATTCTATACGTATGAGTGTATTGCTTGCATGTAGGTTGGTGCACCCATGTTGTGCAATGCCCTGGGGTCAGAAGCAGGCATGAAAACCTCTGGAACTGAAGTTATGAGTGGTGTTAGTGTCCATGTGGGTGCTTGGAATCGAACCCAGGTCCTCTGCAAGAGCAGTCAGTACTCTTAACCTCTGAGCCATCTCTCCAGCCTTGTACTGATTCTTTTAAATATGTTTATAAGGTCTCTGAGGTAAGGAGCTACAAAGGCTCTGTACACTGAAGTCTTCAACATGTTTATTCCTAATCAAACTGTCTTTCCTGGGAGTAAATTCATATGGTGGACGGATGAATTCTCTCACCCTCTTGTCTTTCTTTGTCTCTGACAGTGAGCGATGTTTTACAAGGCCTCGTCTTTCCCATTTTCCAGGTATCATACAGACTTTTTGAAGACATGGGCCTCTTTGAAGCTTTTAAAATCCCAATTAGAGAATTTATGAATTATTTTCATGCTTTGGAGATTGGATACAGGGATATTCCTTGTAAGTATCGGTGATCTGTGAGGTAATACTTCCAATGTTTGCTTGTCAATCCTACAGAGAGTGGTGGGGTATTGAGTCACTAGACTTGATGCAGAATTGTACACTGTGGGAAGTCTGCGTGGTCTCACTGTAGGGTGGTGATTGACGTTGAGATGCTGAGTCCTCCTTAGACCAGCTCTGTGAGACCCTGGAGCATCACTTACCCCAACTCATTTCTTGATCCAGAAAATGGGGTCATAGTGTCTGTTTCCCATGAGTGTTAGGATCAAATGGGGTAATACTTTGAAAGAGGTTAGAATAGCATCTTGCAAATATCTATCATAGTTCTTTGAGGTATAATTAAATGTCAAATTTAAACTTATACTCATTTAATAATCGCCATTTCTTATTAGGTAAATTTAACCCTTTCTTATGGTGTCTGGTGATACCATAAGACGACTAAAACTGTTAAGAGTTTTTTCCAGGTACGATAAATTTGAATACTGTTTAGAGGGGCTAGAAAGGTGATTACTTAGGTAACATAATGAAAAATGAACATCCAGAAATGGTTATGGAAACGTGATTAGGCCCGTTTTTTAAAGTCAGGCAAATGTGAAATCCAAAGATGAAGGTTCAATCAGTTATTCCAGTTTTGTCCAGTTTTGATTATTAGGAAAGTTAGAATAACAAAACTGGAACAAAATGAGACGTGAAAACATTTGTGTGAGATATGCCCAATCATGGCATGTAAACAGACCTGTTCTACACAATATATGGAACTGAAGAAAATGTCCAAAGATCCACCTACATTACTTCGGAAGTCTGTAGAAACCATGTGGTGCTTCAGAGATGTAAATACCTAAAAAGAAAAGCCAAACAACTACAAACCATTTGTTGGCTTGTGTCTCAGAAACGTGTTACTTGTGTTTACTTTGGAAGCGCGTGCACAGAAATTGGAAGTGTGTCGTTTAAATCATGCTTTCCCTTTTAAGCTTTAAATTTGCTTTCATGAATCTTGGATTCAAAAGCTCCTGTCTTTTTGTGGTTATCAAGAATTGAATTTAAGTACTGGGAATGTAGCCTAGTTGGTAAAGTGCTTAGGTAGCATGTACAAAGTCCTGGGTTCAATTCCTGGCACCACATAAACCAGGCATGGTGGTATATATCTGTAATTTCAGCACTTAGAGGCTGAGGCAGGAAGATCACTCCAAGCACATCTTGGCCCACATAGTGAGTTCAGGACAAGCTTAGCCTATAGAGTGAGACCCTGTCCAAAAACCAGAAACAAAACAAAAAGAAGTTAAAATTAAGTTTTTAAAAAATTAAAAAATTGCATTTGGACACAGATAATTGGCAAGTATCGCTGAAAATGATTAGCATGTTAACATGTTTTCCAAAATATCCACGTGGTACACTGACATGAAAACACAGCATAAAGGAGGAAGAATCGTTCAGCTTGCCAATGAGATGTGTTGAAGAATGGAAGATAAAATGTCGGCCAGACAGCAGTTGGGATGGGTGTAGAGGACTGTGGTAGCACTGGGCTGTTTGGGAACGTCTGGCCACTGAGGCCTTGGAAGCTGGAAGAGAGATATGAGAGGGGGTTTGGAGATAAGCCTTGCTTGCTTTAATGTGGCTTTCCCAGGGCTCAGCCTGGTGAGTTGCCAACAATTGACATAAGTGTTAGTGATTTCTCAAAGGTCAAGGAGTTACACAAACAAACTTTTCTAGAAAGGAAGCCACTAGAAGCACTAAAGAACAGCTCGTCACCACGTGTAGTTTCCAAATTACTGTTTTATTGAGAAAATCAGCCAGATCCAGTTCAACGCATTCAGCAGGATGTTCCACTCCACGGATACACGAACGGTGACAGGTCGTTGTTGCTGTACTCCGCTCTGACTTATAACACTTTGCTGTTTGTAATGTGATGTGAAATGATGGGACAGGGTCGGTATTCAAGTAGCAAAAGAAGCTTCCAGATTCTCGAATTTTTAAAGTTGGTTTATTTATTTATTCATTTGTTTATTTATTATTTATTTTTATCTTTTTGAGACAGGGTCTCCCAGTAGCCACAGGTAGCCTGGAACTCACCATGTAGACCAGGGCAGCCTTGAACTTAGAGCTCCACCTGCTTTTGCCTCCCAAGTGCTGGGAGTAAAGCCATGCACCATCAGGTTCAATTATGTATATGTGTGTACATCTGTGTGTGGGTATAAATGTGTGTAGGTGCCCTCAGAGTTCAGAGGAGAGTGTTGGATCCCCCGGAGCTGAAGTTATAGGCAGTTGTGAGCCACTCAGTGTGGGTGCTGGGAACTGATCTCACTCAGATCCTTTCAAGAGCTCTGCTCTTAACTGCTAAGCCATCTCTCCAACTCCTTTGCCTGTGGCATGCATCAAGGTGAAATGCTACTGCAGCTTGTCTTGTCTGTAAACCATCTGCAAATGAGTTAGGCTTGTAGCCCTTGAGATGGTCTGCACTTAGGCATATAGACTAGAATCCTAATAAAATTTCCTGTGATGACATTATATGAATATTCAGCTCTAGCTGTGACAGGGTTATCTCTTAAAGCTGCTCTGAGATCCTGTTCTCAAACCCAAACCCAGGCCTCTAGGTGGTGGTGGGGGGGGTTTCTCTAAGAGTTAGCTTTACGTCATTTCTTCTGGACAAGTTCTTATGGGTTACCATATACGTAGGGAAGATGGCACCATCTCCTTGTGGGCTGCCTGGGTTCCACTGATGCACATTTCCAGACTCTGGACAGATTTGGCTTATATTCTCACTGACGTTTTTTTTCGCTCCTAGTTCTTTCTTCCCCTAATCTGTTGAGTACCACTTAGAAACACAATCTCTTCTGTTGGAGAGGGAATTGGTATCATGGTTAATTAGAAGAAATGTGGGCAATTATTACATTTAGAATAAGACATGCCAGTTGATGAAGTCATATAGAGAGGCCGGTAAACATGAAAAAGGAAGAATTCACCAGAAAAAAAAGGTGAACCAAGATCCAACCATGGATTTGGCTACATTGAACTCTGCCCATAGATGGCTTTTCCTACCTAATGATGACTTGCTTACTAGGGTGTTTGGGTTTTCCATAGCTTTTGACAACTTGTAAATGGTTCGGCTCCCTACCTAATTGTGCAAAGAGATTCTTATTTTTCTCTTTGGCTATTTCCTGGAACTATATTCCCATATACAATTTCTTGTAGAGAGAACATAACTAGTGTCAGCTTCAAAGTTTTATCTGTGAGTTTAACCTGCATAGAAAACATGTGGTGTTCATTTTATTATAGTGTTTTCAGGTTGACCCAGAAGAGTAGCACATGTTCTGTTCACAGAGTCTGTCTGGATGGCATTTGAGATGAAGTTTCAGGTAGCTGAAACCATTGGTCCAACTGGTTGAGCTGTGTCATGGGTCTGCCTTTCTTTCTGCATTTTCTGTTCATTGCTTCCCTTGTATAGAAGAACAGGAAGAAACAGATGCAAACACTCCATAGTGGGTTTCCTTTGATTAGAAGTTTCTGGAAGAGGCAGGACACAGATTTCTTTCCACTTTGGATATCTGCATGTATAATGAAGGTTGCGGGTGTGGTTTTCTTTCTTGTTACTGTGGATATTATAGAGTTGGTAGACTAGTGATCTACCTGTGGTTGGAAATCTGGCTGCTTTTCACTGGGGTATTAAATTATGAGGACTAAAGTGTTTATCCAGTAGATGGCACTCTTAGTCCTTGGACCCCAAATCACCGACTGTGTGTTCCTTCGCATTGGTCACAGATCATAACAGAATCCATGCCACTGATGTCTTACACGCTGTCTGGTATCTGACTACGCAGCCGATTCCCGGTCTCCCAACTGTGATTAATGATCATGGATCCACAAGCGACTCTGGTATGTACGGACTATGCCTGTGCTTCCTCATAAAAGACAGGAACTAGAATTTGGGGTTTGATTTGTTTTTGAAGGAAACAGGTGCTGTCAGTTTTCTGTTTTTTTAAGAATTTCTATCCCTCTCCCTCTCTCACCTCAGATTCTGACAGTGGATTTACACACGGGCACATGGGATATGTGTTTTCAAAAATGTACCATGTTCCAGATGACAAATACGGATGTCTGTCTGGGAACATCCCTGCCTTAGAGTTGATGGCCTTGTATGTTGCTGCGGCCATGCATGACTATGATCACCCAGGGAGGACAAATGCGTTCCTGGTGGCCACCAGCGCACCTCAGGTAAAGGGTTAGATTCATTATGAGAAAATAAGTGGTGCACAGATTCATGGTATAAAAGTAATTTTACAAATATGACCTGTAAGCCATGCTTGGTAAACAGGAGCCAAGCTGTATTTAGTTCTTGGGTAAAATTCTTAGAGGCCATATTAATTTCAAAAGATGCTATGGGGCTAGGGAAGTAGTAGATCCCTTGACTGGCGTGCCCAAGGCCCTGAGTTCAGTCCCCAGCACAGCAAAATAAATAAGCAAACACAAGATGCCATGGTTGTTCTAGAATATTCGTGGTAGGGATCGAACCTCATGACCCACAGGGACACTCAGTTTTCTTCTTAGAAAAATCAATTTGAATTACTGTTAATGCACATGTTCAACAAAGCATAAACATGTATGTACATAAACCTTATTCCTTAGAAATATAACCATGACAAATTTAATTCTTAGTGCATGTGTTTTGGTTGGAATTTGCCATCAGTTCATTTCAGTTGTTGGTGAGGAACTTTTTTAATCTAAACAGATTCCCCAGAAGTAACTTTTTAAAATTTTTTATTTAGTACTTTTATTATATGTGTATGAGCATATTGTCCGCATATAGGTAAGTGCACCCGTGTCATGCAATGCCCACTGAGGTCAGAAGAGGGTGTCAGGTCCCCTGGAACTGGAGTTATGGATGGTTGTTAACTACCATGTGGGTCCTGGGAATTGAACCCAGGTCCTCTACAAGAGCAACCAGTGCTCTTAACCACTGAGCCATCTCTCAAGTCCCCAAAAGTAACTTTTAAAGAAAACTATTTTGGTATATATTTATGCCAAGTCAAATGTTAACCACTAAACATTTAGGCATCTGTATTTACATTGTTAAACCAAGTTCCCCTTGATTTAATCAGCACGGTCAAGCTCCTAACCATCCTGGAACCCTCTGTTATTTTCCGCATGGGATCTAGAAGCTAGTCTGGGTCATGTTTGCTTTGTTTTGTTTTGTTTGTTTTTGTTAAATATTTTATTTTACGTGTATGAGTGTTATGCCTGCATGTATGTGAGTGCACCCGTGTCGTGCAATGCTTGTGGAGGACAGAAGAGGCTGTCAGATCCCCTGGAACTGGAGTTACCGACAGTTGTTAGCTGCCATGTGGGTGCTGGGATTCGAACCCGGGTCTTCTACAAGAACAGTCAGTGTTCTTAACCACTGAGCCATCTCTCCAGCCCTGCTTTGTCTTTTTTTTTAAATTTGACTTCTGTCTTCTATCAAATTCTCATCCATTTCCACAGCTTTTTTTCTGGTCTAATTAAGAAACTTCCTCCAATCTGTAGGCAATAAAAGAATCTGAATTTTCCCCCCTTCCTCACCTATTTTATCTCCTTTCACAGCCCTTCAGACACCAGACTTGGCCTCCCTAAAGAGAGGCAGAAATCTTCTGGTCAACCGACCCTGCCATTGAGATTTTCCCTCAGAACTGGTGCTCAAGTGTTCGCCTTCCATGGGTCCTTACATTCTCCTCCTCCATCATCTGTGTCTCACACCTTTTTTTTGGTCTCCAACCTTTTTTTTTCTAGGCAAAAAAATTTGTTTTCCTTGTAGAGTCCTCCAACATTATTAAAGAATTCCAAACCAAGTAGATGTGTATTATATATGTTTAATTATTAGATGAAGGATCACAATTACTAGATAAAGGAGCTGAAAATGTTTTAGAATGTAGGCTTCTGAGAAATTCCATTTATCTTCAATGACTAGATATATTTAATGAAGAAGTGATTCTTATTAACCCAGATACAAAAAGGAACTGAGTTGTAGAATTTGTTTGCGTATAGGTATCTATTTATGTGCAATTCCTGCACCCTGCAAAGAAATATGAAGAAAAAAACAAAAGTTAATTCTCATAGTAGGTTAGTTAACATAACTTTCAATAATTTGCAAAAAAAAAAAAAGAAATTTAACTTCAGAAAAGTCATCAACAGTCAAAATAATGCAGTGATTCTTAATAGCCAGTACACCATTACGTCTTTTTTCTATGAAAAGCTGAGTCAGTTAAAAGCATTGCATATTCTTATTGATTTTTTTTTTCCTTTGTACATTTCTCTTGTTCCCACATCAGGCGGTTCTGTACAACGACCGTTCAGTTTTGGAGAATCATCATGCAGCCGCAGCCTGGAACCTTTTCATGTCCCGGCCAGAGTACAACTTCTTAGTTAACCTTGATCACGTGGAATTCAAGCACTTCCGTTTCCTAGTCATCGAAGCGATTCTGGCCACTGACCTAAAGAAACACTTTGACTTTGTAGCCAAATTTAATGCCAAGGTAACTAGATCCCAACCCATCTTTGTATTATGACCACATTAAAACATGTCTTGAAATCAAATTGTTGAACATAACTCAATTGCCATCTTTCCTATGTCAGCGGTGAGAAGAAAATGTAAGAAAATGTTCATCCACAAGCAGACATTTAGGCATTGTTCTGAATCTAGATGCTTCAGAGGCTGAGGTGTTGGATCTGTTTGTTATACTTTGTTCTAAGGAGGATTAATATTAACTCTTACTATATTTTTCTGATTGATTTAATATATAATCATCTCTGTAGTAAGCTTAGGTAAGTCACCTAACAGCAGTGGAGATAAGAAAACCTGAAGCAAAACTTCGTATATCAAATATAAAAGCACAAGTATTAATTCAAGTTTCTTACTTAGGGCTTGGGAGAAATAGTCTATAAAGTGCTTACTTTGCTATCAGAAGGACCCGAGTTTGAACCCCAGAACCTATGTCAAAAAGCTGGGCTTGGTGGTGCACGCTTATGACCCCAAGTCCAAGGGAGCAGAGACAGGAGAATCCCTGGCCAGTCCAACCTAATCCATGAGAGCCCCTGTCTCAAAAAAACAATGATGGATGGCTCCTGAGGAAAGACATCTACACGCACACACTCAGACACAGATGTGCTCTTCTGTACATTAACACACACATAGAAAGGAAAATTTCTCATTTATAGTTATTATACTTAATAAAAATAATATATCTTTTAAACAGAATTTCTTATAAATCAATATTTAATTACTTTATCCATTATCAATTGCTGTTTTGGTTTTTTTGAGTCAGGGTCTCTCTGTTGCCCCAGCTGGAATTCACTGTGTAGATCAGGCCAGCCTAGATCTCACAGAGATCCATCTGCCTCTGTTTCCTGAATGCTAGAATTAGAAGTATGCACCACCACATCTGGATCATTACTTTGCTTTTTGATGAGCTACTGTGCTGTTAATTTATGCAAACCAATAAAGTTATTTTCAATAGCTAAAGTTCTGACATATGGCATTCTAATGACTACACAGTAAGAATACAATGAAATTCTACTATGATTTATCTAGATTTTTATTTTCATGGAGACAAAAGCATTTTGACTTTGTCCCTCAAACAGGTGAATGATGATGTTGGACTTTGTCCCTCAAACAGGTGAATGATGATGTTGGGATAGATTGGAGCAATGAAAACGATCGTCTACTGGTTTGTCAAATGTGTATAAAGTTGGCTGATATTAACGGGCCTGCTAAATGTAAAGAACTTCATCTGCAGTGGACAGAGGGCATTGTCAATGAATTCTATGAGCAGGTAACTGACTTAGTTGCGTAGTCTGTTTCAAGTTTCCTTCCACTGGCCGGTATATTGTTGTTGTTTTTGTTTGTGTGTTTGTTGTCTTTTTAAGACGGTCTCCCTATAACCCCAGGTAGCCTAGAACTGGCTATGGAAACTAGGCTGGCCTAGATCTCACAGAGATCCACCTGCCTCATGAATGCTAAGATTAAAGGTGTGCACCACTGGTTTTCCACTGGTCAGTTTTGACCTGGTGTTTAAAAATAACATGTAAAAATCGAACTAACCTGTAACTATTGCCCTTTAAGATAAATTGTCTACAGGCATTTTGGGGTCAATGTTAAGATACTAGAATGATCCAGTGAGCTGTTATAAACACCCTTGAAATGCTATGTTTCTTCAGATTCATTTATTATATTATATTTAGTATAGTCAAATTTGTATTAGATGTATACACAGACATATATCACATTTGCTTTTCTAGTAAAATTAAATAACAGCAGTGTACATAAAAGATACATACATACTTTGACATGATAATGTAAGAGCTGGGATGCCCTGAAAAGCTGCTGCAATAATTTAAGCATGGTGGCCATCCCCATGGAACTCTATATTAGCGTCATTATATTTTTAGTTTTCGATTTAGGATCCTGAACTGCTCTGGAGAAGAGAGTGAAGGTACTAGAGATTAGATAAAGGACATGAATCCATGACATAAAAGGACATGGAAAAACTGAAGGTGTTTACCCTAGAGCAAAGTAGCGATGTTAGAAACTGTCCTCAGATATTACGACTCACATATGAGCTTTAGCTGGGTGTGGTGGCACATGCCTTTCATCCCAGCACTCAGGAGGCAGAGGCAGGTGGATCTCTGTGGGTTCGAGGCCAGCCTGGTCTACATAGTGAGTTCTAGGACAGCTGGGGCTACAGGGAGACCCTGTCTCAAAAACAAAAAACAAAAAAAAAAAGAATTGGTTCATCAGAATGTTTCAGTGGCGTTTGATGGAGGGAAATACTTAACTTGGAGCTGATTCATAAGAAATGTTAGGTGGTCCTCTCAAAACACAGGAATAAGTCAGCCTAGTGGCACATGTTTGGAATCCAGCATCAAGGGCTGAGGCTGGACCCATGGGGCTGCATAATGAGGTCACATCATGAAAGAAAAAGAGGGGAAGAGGATTACAGAAAACTTGCAGAAGTTGTTAGAGACAAAGTTTGGACCAATGGCAGAAAAAAAAATGTTAGTACTAAAAGTCTCCCAAAACTGGATGGATGGGGCACATCTTAATAAACTATACTTAAATAGCGTTTGGGATAAACTTTTAAGGCTAATGTAGTTTATATTTGTATACAGAATAAGGTAGTTGTGCCTTTAAAACATAATAGATTGTCTTTCCTGGTAATAGCATTAATTCACAAGCAATGCTAAGCTTGAAATGCAGAAAAAATATGAAAAGGAAAATCTGCTTACAACAATTCAAGTACTTAGGTCATAATTGTTGATAATTTCATAAACCTCCTTCAAATTTTCTATGTAACATCTTATTTATGGTCTGTTATTTTTATTCCTGTAAAAATTTGAAGCAGTTAAAGATAAAAATCACTAATATTATATAACCATAGAGGATATAACTCAAACAAAATCTGTGGTAATATTGAGCAAGAAAGTGTTTTAACATTCTAGCCAGCAGGGCAAAAATTAACCCATTTGATGATCCTAAGCATGGCCTTTTCAGATACACTCACAGAAGGGACATGGATTTTTTTTTTTTTTTTTTTTTTTTTTCAGAGATTCCAAGACCCATCATTTGAGGGCTGGGCTGAGGATGTAGCTCACTTGGTAGAATGCTTAGCATGCAGGAAGCCCTCAGTCACCAACACCAATAAACTTGGGGTCTACACCTGTAATCCCAGCACTTGGGGGTTGGAGGCAGGAGGACCAGAGGTTCAAGGCTTTCCTCAGCTACATATTGAGTTTGAATCCATTTTGGGCTACAGAAGAGTTTGTTTGGGGGGAGGGGGAGGAAGGAATTCTACTGAAACATTGTATTTCTGCTTAAAAAGGAACAGGAACTGCAGTAGATACCAAAGTCGTTCTCTAGGCACCTTAGCTATTAGGACAGAATCTCTGAGCAATGACATAAAGGGATTTGTACATGAGTATCTGGGTTCTGGACTATCTACACATTTCCGTGTTGTTATTTCTTATGCTTTATATTCTTTGCCATTCACCTTTGAAGCGAGCTGCTGTTCATCCTGAATCTCTCTCTCTAGGGTGATGAAGAGGCCAGCCTTGGTTTGCCCATAAGCCCCTTCATGGACCGCTCTGCCCCTCAGCTGGCCAATCTTCAGGAATCCTTCATCTCACATATCGTGGGTCCTCTGTGCCACTCCTATGACTCTGCAGGTCTCATGCCAGGAAAGTGGGTGGAGGACAGTGACGAGTCAGGAGACACGGACGACCCAGAAGAGGAGGAAGAGGAGGCAGGAGCAGCCAATGAAGAAACCTGTGAAAACAGGGAGGCTCAGAGTAAGTCCCAAAACGGCGTTCTGATCTGACGCTGCAGGGATTATTTCCTGGCTTGGAATCAGAGGAAGTTTATATGTACTTTATATGTATTTGTGGGTTTTTATAAATTATATTGTTTGAGTCTTAAACTAGTGGTTGCTGGGTTGGAGGCTAAATCACTGCCCTTCTCTCTTATCATAGTAATGCAAACTGCAGAGGATGGAAATTAAAATCAATGTGAGGCATCGGGCAAAGATACACTCTCTTGGAGAGTTGAAACCTCCCTTCAGAATTTCTTAATGTTTCAGAGTTTTCACTTGCCATATGGACTAATCTCAAATTTTTCTTGGCTAAGTTGGAGGATGTGAAGAGATAAAAGAGGAGGCTTTTATTCATCCAACGAACATTTACTGTGCACATCCCCTGTGCCGAGGTATTCTTAACTACTACCAAAGACGGACCTATGAACAAAACATCGAAAGTAAATAAATCCTTGCCCCTCTAGATGGGCATTCTAGTGAAGTCAGGAGGTACTAGGCAAGACAAATCAGTATAGCCACAGTATTTTAGGTATGTGTGTGAGTGCATTGCCTGCATGTATATAAGTGCACCTGCGTCATGCAGTGACTGCGGACGTGAGAAGGTGGCACTGGATCTCCTGGAACTTGAGTCACGATGGTTGTTAGCTGCCATATGGGTGCTATACAGAGTGTCCAGTCAGCTCGGGGATCGACCTGTCTCTGCCTCCCCAGTGCTGGGGTTATAGGCACATGCCACCATGCCTGGTGCTTTTTTTTTTTTTTTTTCTTCAATTTTTCAATTGATTTTTTTGAGCATTTCATGTAATACATTTTAATCAAATTTAGACCCATTCCCCCCTCCCTACCCCCACAGCCTTACCACCACCACCAGATATCATGCATTCTGTCAAGTCCTATCTGGTTAAGCATTTGTAGCCAGATGTCCCTTGGTACAATTTCATCAACTCTGATCTAGTCAGCCTATCTAGAGTCCCTCCCTTAAAGAAGATCTACTCTCCCTCACCCCACAGTAATCATTTGCCAATAGTTCCTTGGCTAGGGTTAGGACCTGCTACCCATTTCCCCCATTCTGTGCTGCGTTTTCGTATGATTGAGTCTGCATGGCTCTTGTGCAGAGACTGTACAATCCCTCTCCCTGGGTAGGATTCCTGTACTAAACCTCATCTTCCCACAGCTCAGGGACCATTGTGGAAGAGGGGGCAGAAAGATTGTAAGAGCCAGGGTTGGTGCATGAACACAGGGAAGTAGAGACTTTCAGGCTGTGCCTGGCTATGTGGGTTCTGGGAATTGAACTTGGGTCTTATGTTTGTGCAGCAAGCACTTTATCCACTGAGCCATCTTCCAGCTCCCTAGAAATACAATCCTGAAGTATCCCTTTGCAGCCCAGTAAATGATAAGGGTGGATCAACATTAGCAGATATAAACATTGGCCATGTAGTGAAGCCATGACATTTTAGTTAGCCACCTTGTTTTACAAGTGACGAAAGTAGGATTCAAAACCATTCTCAAGAACCAGAGAGAGCACTCTGCTCTCTTCATGCTTACAAATATTTTATCATTTTTATGTGTATGAGTATATTGCCTGCATGTAGATAAGTGTACCAATGTCATGCAGTGCCCGAGAGAATGGAGGACAGTCGAGGGTGTCAGAGCCCCTGGAACTGGAGTTATGGATGGTTGTTAGCCTCCATGTGGGTGCTGGGAATTGAACCTGGGTCCTCTGCAAGAGCAGCCAGTGCTCTTAACCACTGAGCCATCTCTCCAGCCCAGGTTACTTCATTGCTTTTGGGTTCTTCATAATTTTAATTTCAGAACTTATTGGCTAAGATAGTCACTTTGATTTAGATTTCAGAAGAAAATTATTGAATATGCACTTGGAACTTCTGCAGTTTGCAACTTTTATTCTGTTTCCTGGGAGATATCCAAGTTTGGCAGTGTGGTGTCCTAGGGACAGGGCTTTTACCCACCTCATAATTAAATCTGAAAGATTCCTGGGGCGAACTAAGAGGTTTCTAATGAAGTACTAAGCTGCACTTAGAATGTGAGCAGTGAAAGGTGCTTTGTTCTCCTTTCAAAAGGTTCCAGTGCTGAATAATTTGGCTCCCAACACTGGCCTGCTTCAGACCACCTGCAGATCCTAATCTACGCAAATTTATTTGGTACAAAGTTTCTTCTACGTCATTTTATTCAGTATAATTCCAGAGAGGTTTATTGCTAATGTTTAACAGCGTTTGTAAGAGAACAGCTGCTCTCATGGGGCCTGCCTAGAAAAAAAAAAAAAAAAAAAGGAAAAAAATGGAGCTTTTGTTAACTCCTTTCCCATAAATGTGCACAATGTAGAGATTTCCTATCACTGTGACTCAAATCTGTCCTTTTTTTGGTGGGCATCTGTCACTCCTGTGAGTCAGAAGATTAGATTTAAGAGCATGTTTGACAATGCCTTATCAGAAGCAAATTCATGTTTAACCACAACAGAAATAAACTGGAAATGGATGAGTCCATGCTTTAGAAGAAAAATTAAAAGTTGAATGTATTCCTGTATTTTATTTACAGAAATAGAATATTGTATTAGTTACTTTCCCTGCTGAGGTAAAAAAAAACACCTGACAGAAATCAGCTTGAGGGAGGAAGAGTTTACATCCCTTTACATTTGGATGTACAGTCCATCATGGTGAGGGAAGATACACCCTGGCCATGAGATGGCTTAGTAAGTGTTGACACAAAAGCACAACTCTCATCTCAAAGGGGATAAGAAATAGTTTATTCTGGACCCAAATATGAGTGACACAAATTCAAGTCACCCCAAATTCCATGTTCCAATGTGCAAGCAGTAACAGCAAAGAAAAGTCATGAATCGAGACACTTTTTAAAAACATTGGTGGAAACATTAAGGCTGTTACAGCAAGAGAGAAATCTCAGCTATGGGCCTCTGATGCTGTCTGATGACCCTCAACCTTTTGGTTGGAAGAAGCTGGTAGTCTACCCAATTAATACATTTTAAACGTTTTTATTAGTCACAGGATGTTAAACCAGAAACACAGCTGGGCAAAGAATGGCTATTTAGGGGCTAAAGATAAGTGATAATTAGGGTACGGACCTGCAGCATTCCAACGTCTCCATAATTACTGACGTTCCAATCAGTTGATCAGCCTTGCAGGTTTCAAGATGCAGGTTCTTTCTGGGAAACTTCGTTCACACAAGTAAAAGTTCTTGCTGTGCGAGACTGGATGACCCATGTTAAATCCCCAAACCCATATAGAAAAAGCCTTGTGGGACTGGAGAGACTCTAGGTTATGAACACTTGCTTTTCTTGCAGAGGACCTGGGTTCAGTTCCCAGCACACACAAGGTGGCTTACAACCATCTATAGCTCCATCTTGCAGAGGACCTGGGTTCAGTTCCCAGCACACACAAAGTGGCTTACAACCATCTATAGCTCCATCTTGCAGAGGACCTGGGTTCAGTTCCCAGCACACACAAGGTGGCTTACAACCATCTATAGCTCCAGTTTGAGAGGATCCAGTGCCCTCTTCTGGCCTCCTCCTTCCTCAGGCACCAGGCAAGCAGGTGGTAAAACTTGTGCACATGAAGTAAAAATAAATGAATCTTTTTAAAAAAGGCAAATGTGCTGCTGCTAGGGAATTTGTAATCCCAGCCCACCTACTGTGAGATGGGGGGTCACCCTGAAGCTTGTGGCAGCCCCTCCTTTCCTCTTTGCTTTCTTGTTGGTCCATTCCCTTTCCGTGACCTTTCTCCCCTTCCTTTCTTATGTTTAAATAATGAAACGGTAAGATCACCTAACATCAGATTGTAGCAAAATTGAGAGTACAAGTTCTAGAGAGCCGCTGTGCACGATGTGTTTATGATCAACACCACTATTTTGTACCGTCTTTCTCCATGATCACATTTCAAAGGAATGGTTCCTCAGGCTAGGAGACTTATCTGTATTGCAAAGGAGCAGACAACTGATTTTCAAGCACAAGCTTTCTTAAGTGAGTGTTCCGAGAAGAAGGTCAGAGTCCTAGAAACTGGAGGTTAGGATGGAGACTGGGTCACTTGGCTAAAATTTAGTCACAGTAAGAGCAGTAGTGTCTCGGTGACTTTTTCGTTGCTGTGATAAAATACCCTGACAAAAACAACTGAGGGGATAAAGGCTTTCTCTTATTGTCCAGGTTACGGCCCATCGTTGGGGGAGGTCGCAGGAGCTGGAGAGAGCTGGTCATAGCGTGTTCACAGCCAAGAAATAGGCAGCAAAGAATCCATGAATGCATGCTAGTGCTCAGCTCACTTTCTCCACTTGTACAGAGTCCAGGATCAGGGGAGTGACCCCTCCCACAGTGGATGCTTCTTCCCACCCCCCATAGACATTCCCAGAGGACAATCTCCCAAGTGATTCTAATTTCTGTCAGGTTGACAGTTAATACTAACCCTCACAAACAATAAGGCTCTATCTGTTCTAAAATAGCACGTGTATTCAGTTTCTGGCTTACAAGTGTATTCTCCCATAGAGTACAAGGCAAACTCTGAGCCTTAATCGATCTTTGTTTCAAAGTATGCTGAAAACTGGATATGGTGGTGTACTCCTTTAACCCCAACACTCAGGAGGCAGAGGCAGGCTGATCTGAGTCCAAAGCCAGTCCGGTCTACATAGTGAGTCCCAGGACAGTCAAAAGATAGCTAAAACAACAATTAAAAAAAAAAAAAGTCTGGGGGCTGGAGAGATTGCTCAGTGGTTAAGAACACTGGTTGTTCTTGCAGAAGACCCAGGTTCGAATCCCAGCACCCACATGGCAGCTAACAACTGTCCATAACTCCAGTCCCAGGGGACCCGACAGCCTCTGACCTCTGTAGGCATTGCACAACACTGGTGCACTTACCTACATGCAGGCAATACACACAAAATAAAAGTGATAAAGCTGTTTTTTAAAAGTACACAGAAAAATATTTCCCACTTGCTTAAGTAGTTGTACTGATGGTTCCATCTCATGAATACACTAAAAAATTAATTACTTACAACTCTGTTCCTATGTTCCTAGCTCCCAGCATTTATTTAATTTAATATATAAGTATTCATATGATTCAAAAATAATTCAGAGGGCTAGAGAGATGGCTAAGTGATTAAGAGCACTGGCTGCTCTTGCAGAGGACCTGGAAATGTTTTTTCCACACAACATTTTACAAATTGATCTCACTGTTCTCTAGTGCAAGAAAATTCCTGCATCTTCTTAAATGAAACTGGTAAAAGAATCACTAGCACTTTCACGAAGATGTCTGTAGTTAGACTCCAGGTGCTCCAGCACATCTGGTAATCACTGGTGAGCTCCAGCCATAATGAGAGATACAGACTCAAAAAACATGGACAGGCACAACTACACATATGCATGCAAGTGCACCTGTGTCATACAATGTCCACACAGATCAGAAGAGGCTTTCAGATCCCCTGGAACTGGAGTTATGGACAGTTCTTAGCTGCCATGTGGGTGCTGGGAATCTAACTCAAGTCCGCTGTAAGAGCAGTCAGTGCTCTTAGCCACTGAGCCATCTCTCCAGCCCCACAGTTTGTTTTTTTAAAGATACAGGCAGAATCTACTGCAGACATCACCAAATATTATATATTCACACTTTTCTCAGTAATAGTTTAACATTTTCCTTTTATTTCCCCACTCTTGAAAACTACATTATTGGACTATGTAAAGCAAGTGAAATTGACAGATACAGTGTCTGTGATACTTAACTGCTATTAACAGTATGAAAATAAATAAATATATACAGCACACCAATAGTTTAATGTGCTGGTTTTTGCTTTTAAGGAAAGAAAACTTTCAAAAGGAGGAAAGTTTACTGCCAAATAACTCAGCACCTCCTGCAGAACCACACGATGTGGAAGAAAGTGATTGAAGAGGAACAGCGGTTGGCAGGCATAGAAAGCCAGTCCCTGGACCAGGCACCTCAGCAGCATTCGGCAGAGGAGATCCAGGCCATCAAGGAGGAAGAGGAAGAGCAGGGAAGGCCAAGAGCAGAGGAGATCCCGGTCCCACAGCCGGGCCTGTGACCGTGGGTAGAGCAAGGTCTGACTGCAGACAGGATGACTTGTCCCAGACACTTTTCTAAGCCAGCACAACACTTAGACACAACACTGTAGAAATACCAGAAGATGGGCAAACCGCAAAGGCGTTTGGGAATTATTCACATTTTGTGTGTTTATTTTTACAGCGAGGTACATTGCTGAAGATTCTTGCTCAAAGAAGCTTTCACTTTGAGACACCAGCTTCTAAGGAATTTTTTTTTTTTTAGGAAGAAATATATGGTGTGCGTGTGTGTAAATATATAAGTTCCCACATAGACTCATGTAAAACATTCACGCATACACACTGAAAGCCAGGACCACTGGCTCCACAATGTAGCAACATTAAGATATATAGAGGTCACTGTGACATAAGAAATCACAAAGGACAGGAAAGTCCTGAGGGAAATGTGCAGCTTAGCAGGTTAACAATGCCAGCAAATGTAGGCTACCAACTAAGAAGCTTGAGGGATGAAAGCTCCACAGCATTATTTGAATTCTGATGCATCCTGCCAACACCATGTGTATGTGTGTTTGTAAAGGGAGACATTCTTGGTTTTAGTTGTTAGTGGAATCATTGTATCAGATGATTCAGTATATGGAAGGAAGTTCATTCTAGAGTGTTTTTTTTGAAAGCCAGCACTCCTCCGTTTAGCTCGGGAAGGCTCCTTTGCAGAGAGAGGGCATCTGTGGGCCACGATTGGTACTACTGCTGTACACCACTTGGAGACGCTCTACCACCAACCACATACTTGCAAGACTGAGGCTGCCTGGTCTATGCCTCATGAATGTACAGGAGATGCTTATGAGTATGTGTGTCACTCATCTAAGATCAAATCACCATGGAAGGGAATTGGATTCTTTACATGTGAACACCGGAGAGGAAATGGAGTCAGTTCTTTTCATCAGGTAAGAGTCCTAAAAGGGTGCCAGAAAAGACCCAGGAAACTGCCTTTGCTAACCTGTGTCTTCTTGCTGAAACAATGTGTTTTAGAAAGAAGGAAGGAAGGAAAGAAAACAAAAGAAAGCAAACCCACTATGAACTATACGAGAAGGAAAAATTGTCAACTGAGTGTCACTGTTTGGAAGTTGACGTAGGAAGAACTTCGCAACTGTTGACTGGATCTGGGGGTGACTTTTTACGCTGCCTGACATCCCTGTTGTGAGTTCCATACAGTGTGGTGGGTAGCATGGCTCTGGCACTTGGTCCACTGTCCTGCTTACTTTGCAGGAAGGTTATAGAGGGGTTGTTTGGGGGTAGGCTATTGTTGAAAGCTGCTTTTTGAATTGTCTTTTGTTGTTGTTGTTTATCTACACTTGTTTATGCTGTGAGCCAAACCGCTATTTAAAAAGATACTCACTTTCCACATTTCAATTCATATTATTATATATGTCATGACTAGTTACCGTGATGTAAATATCAAGACTTTTTTGTTTGTTTCTGTAGATAGTAAACTCTTTTTTTTTTTTAAGAAAAAGGGAAAAGGGAAACATTTTTATAGTTATATTTTAATCACCATTTTTATACATTGTAGCTATCTCCAAGCCCAGTAACAGAGTGATGATTCATTTGCATGGTGTCTGAGGAGGGTCCATCATCTATCCATTCTAGTTTGAATCGTGTAACCTGACACAGTTAATTTTGCTATTAAAATACTGCAGAGACACTTTTTCAGTAGTACCCTTTGCTAAATGAATTTGGAGTTTATTTCCCAGATAAAAGACTTTAACTAAATTGTTACAGTTGGTGCCCCTTTCTCTCTAAACCCTGTTGCCTACAATTCTTCCTTCTGTTCTGTGTAAATAGGTTTCCATAGTCTTAGTCCCTAAGAAGACATGGGTGTTGATATCTACTTCTTCACGACCTCAGAAATCATAGGAAAGATTGTTTACATTCAAAATTATTTTGTTTCCTATACATGGGTATCCCACTCTCTCCTTTGATGTTACAATGATCCACAGCATTTTTCCTCAATTAGACAAAGATAATAAAATTTAAAAATGAAACATGATTTCAAGATAGATTTTCTAGGAAATAAGAGCACATAAAGAGGATAAACAAGGTGCAGAGTCTGCCAACACAACTAGAATATTTATCACGAGGTCTCTGCGGTCACACCAGGTCTTCTCTACCTAACAAGTCCTGAATCATTTCCACGTTCTTGGTGTTGCCTATGCGTCTCTGTTTGCAAAATCTATTCTGAAGCAAGTACGCTTCCCCAGTCAAGGTAACTGTTCTCCCTCCCCTGCCATAAGAACTCCAGGCAAAAGCACCTTCACCCCTCGCATCTGCATGAAAGCTCGTTCCCGTCTCTGGATGTGTCTCTCAAATACAAGCAGACAAAAAGCTATGTGTGGAGCGAATGGATTAGTACATCCAATGCAAATGTGCAACTGCCATTTTGTTAAAGCTGCAGAAGCCAAGCCAGGCTGGTTGCATAGTGGGGATCTCAGCAAACTGCCTGGTTTGTTTTAAGGTATATGAAATAATAGGAATAAGAACGACCAAAGCAAATTGAACCTCCTTATTCCTGAATTGTGTTCATCCATCCAGGGAGATTTATCTAAGCATTTTTCTTCTTAGAAAAAAAAATTGTCCTATTTTAACCAAAACTCATCTGAAATGAAGGGAGAGGTGGAGAGTCAACAACTGTGTGACCTTCATATCCACCTGGTACACCTCAAAAGGACATAGACATTTCCCATGAGTGATGTTGCCCCCGTTCCTGGCAACAGAGATACTACTGTTTGCCTCCAACCCCAGAGCTTATTTCCTGTGGTGCCAATGTGCTTGATGCAATTTCCTACAGTTTTATATGAGCCTATATAGGTGCGATTAGATAAACTCAGGTCTCCCAGTGAAGTGGTTTCTACCCACTCAGGGAAAGGATAGTTTGATAGAAAGCCATACATGTTGGTGGTAGGAGAAATTGGAAACAGTGACTCTCTGTGGGGTAAAAGCCTAAATATATTCTGCTTGTTACCAGAGTCGTTTTCAACTTGCCAATGGAATGCCTTTGCGGTGATCAAAGCGGGCTGACCTTTTGAATATTATTTCCTTAGTGGAAACACCACTTCAGCTTTTTTTACTTAACTGTAAAATAATTTGGTTTTCTTGTCATTTATGTAAGATCTGATTTTGCTCTCAGTGAAAGCTGAGTTCAGGAGCTTAGTACCAGGGATTTCTGTTGGTTTCCATCTGACAGATGAAGGAATTTCCTCATGTTTGACAATATCTGCTTTTCTACAATCATAATACCTAGTTCTGTCTGTCCTATTTTGGTTGAATTCCAGAACAAATGCTAACCACGGCAACCCAGTAATACTAAAGAAAAGGAATTGGAAATCATGCATACTGTTCATTAGATGTATGTATTTGCAATTTTCCTATGTCTTCTGCCTTTCTTTCCCAGAGAACTTTCTTGAAGATAAAAGATGTGCAAAAGGCATGAGACTCAGGCCTATTCTTTGTTTAAATGATGGAGAAATATAAATTATTTTCTAAGTAATAAAAATATGAAAAAATACCATTGTAAATAAAGTCTAAAGCTTGATTTGACTGCTTTATAAAAGCGAAATATTTGTGTGGTGAGCAACTCCTAATGAGAATGGAGTGATCTAAAACTCATGTATATTCTGCTTTGGGAAGTAGACCTGGTGCTTCCAGGAAATGGGCACCTCTACTCTCCGCCTCACATATGAAATCCCTTAACATAATAGTGAAAACTGTGATCCGGATCTCGTTATCCCTCTCCTCTTCCTAATCCTGGTTCCATTAAATGCCGTTCCTGATTTTTGTGCCATTTGCAATTAAACTGCCTTTTCAGCTGGCTGAAAGGTACTACAGTGTTCTGTGGACTTCTACAGACTAAATCAAGGGTCCCTTTATTCTTCAGGCCATCCCTAATGTGTATAGGGACCAAAAAAAAAAAAAAAGGACAGCAAAACTTTGGATGCCAATAGCTCAGCCCGAGATAATTAAATGCCAAAATAACCATGTGCTTTGAAGCTGAAATTATCTTCTTGAATTATCTTGCCTTGTAAGCAATGAAATATTTTAAGATCATTGTTCTAGGTCATTTGTTTCATGAATTTATGAAAGAAAACTATGCACCTGCTGATACTGTTGGTGCCTCTTTAAACCCATTCAAAGCAAATTCAAATTAAAGCAAGGTCCCAGAATGAAATTATTCTTGGAATGTCTAATCAAGGAGAAATTTGTGTTCCTGTACTCATGTCACCTCAGTTTGTTCCTCCAGAAAACATTCAGGTTCTTTTTGGAAATTAAATTAGTAATGACTTAAGCTATTGGCTCCGAGTTAGTCAAACCACAAATTGTGATTTAGATACTTTACATTGAGATCTGCATAAGTATTTGTACCACACAGTGAACATTATCATCGAACAAGAACTATTTATGTATTACAAAAACTGTTAAAATACTACTGCTTTTTGCCTCATCTGGAAAATGGTCTTTAGGTTGACAGTATTATCCTAACAGCTGGTTAAAAATGGTGACAAAGATATTCCAACTTTTGTGTGTGAATATGCAAAATAAGGCTACAGACGCAAATGAAATTGGGGGAACTCCATCTGCTAATTCAAAAGAAAATATTTATCCCTCAGTTATTTTAATGTAAGCAGGAGAAACAAAATTAGCTTTTGAGCTGAAGACTATATGATTTCACATCTCCTGTCTAAAGATACATGGTGTTCTCAAGATGAATTGCATTATCATGTGTTGGCACTATTGGATCTATTCTTCTGAAGGGTTGGGGCACACTGAGGAAAAGCCAAGCATCCTCCATATGAGTAAGAAATTCTCATCGTGACTCTGTATAGACTCATTTCCTTATTTGACATTAAAACCTAGTTCTTTAATCATGAAAATAACGATGTCATCTTTGTATGCTACACTGTCAGGAACACTTACATTGGATTTGATTTTTTTTCCCTTGAGCCCTCACTATCTTAAGATTTCTGTTAGATTAAAATGAAACCCATAAACCAAAGCTTCCTAGTTCCCAGATGCTCATATTTTGACACAGAGCTAACATCCTTAAGAAAAAACTTCCAAGATTTAATGATTAATGATTTTTCTATGCGTCTCATAGGGGTATTCAATAAGTACACAAGTTAGACAAAAGTACATTACCACCAAGAACTTCATTTTCCAAATCCAGTCTGAGTTCTATTAATGCAAAGAAATTACCCAGCAATTTATCATTCTTAGGACACTGTAAATAAATGATTTGTATCATAGATATTACATGCTAAATTTTAATACTTTTAGAAACTAAAATTCCTCCATACTAAGAAAATTAAACTTTTAATTTTGACTCACAGATGAAGTACCAGTCATGGGTAAACCCCCCGCCCCACACTGCGTTCATCTGTCTAGTGTGACCAAATGGTAGGGTAGACTATGAGATTCATCCATAGAAAAGTATGGGTAGAGCCTTCGTGTTTGAAGATGTCAGTTTCATTGAATGTTTTTCTTTTAACTGAAATTCTTCCTTCTTAGAAGAAACAAGAAAAAAATAATAAGCCCCGCTCATGGGACAAAGCATCTCCCCAATTTCACTTCTAATTCGGTATTGGTAAAGACAACATAACCAGAAATTCTTTGTTGTAACAAGGAAAGAGGACGTTTCTGATGCCAAATTCTAAGTTACCCACTGTTTTCATGATGAAGCCCATGGTTCTAAGAAGCAAGAAACCAAAAGGCAGACTGAGCGAACACTACGTAAAACCTGACGCACAGCCTGACACCATCCATCCTCATTACAAACCGACTTAGTTATTTGCTCTGGATTGAAATGACACACTGAGCTCAAAATTAATCCCTGACTTAATTAACAAGCACTTATACTGATTTCTGAATGTGAATTTCCCATAGCACTTGAAAACTGTTGCAGAGAAGCAATTGTGCTCATAATTTTATTCCCTGTATATGACAATATTTAGATGTTTAGTGTGAAATCAAGAATCACTTTTTTAAATGCCTTCTTTGTGTATATAACCCACCGGCTGATAGAACTTCCCATCACCTCCCTTTTAAAATTTTCCAATTTGTTATTTTTTGGACTCAGAAACTCAATATTATATCAAGACATTTCATCATTGCTATTTATAAGCATAATCCGGTACTATAGTGTTGCTGTCATTTAAAAAAATGGCCCTTCCGTATCTATATACTACATGCTAACGGGGTTTTGATGACTTGACTTTTAATCTATATTTATTCGCTACTTTAAAATCACAACTTTTGAATACTCTGTGTAAACTATTGCATGGGATTTTTAATGTTCTACGTTTGCTTATTTTTTTCATGTATGAATGTCAATTGATGAGTTCATATGTTCTCACGGAATACAAACCATTGTTTTGCACCAACAAGACCCATCTGTGAGCTGTTGGAAATAAAAATCACTCAGCCCACATTCCCTTGTAGCTCTTCCTAGAGATTTTTATTATGCTAATCACAAAATGAAAATTGGTGCTTTTGTAAACATTGTGCGCCCTCAATGCAAAATAATGGAATAAAGATTCTCTTTATCTTTCTATAATGATGTTAGGATACATAACTCAAAGAACTTTAACCTGAATCTACAGTAGGTTTGGGTTGGCATGATTAATCCAATATGTTGTTTCTTGTAAAAATATGTTCTAATTCCTAATGGAGTGGTTGTTTGGCTCTGTCATCATTTCTTCCTGAAAAAGAAAAATGTCACTGGATAGTTTTCTAAATAGCAATTCTGAACATTTAACCCTGCATAATATATATAAACCAGAGACTATGGGATCAATTTAATTTAGTGTTCCTAAAAAAGCAATATTTTCAAACAACTGCCAACCAAAGTGGTCCAGAGACGGCACCATTTGTATATGAGAATTTTTAACAATGTTTTTCTTACCACGCTCAGCAAATCCAAATATGTTCATTAATTAGTAACATTTCCAAATGTATTCATTTTTAGAGACAGAAGCGTGAGACTTAGAACCTAAATGTGCATTTTGCAATTGAAATAAATATGTTCCTTTCACCCATATCTTGCACTTGACATATGTAGCAATAGTTAGTATCATTCCACTGCAAGTATTTAAATGACACAGTTAATGGCTGATAAAAGTTTTGTAAAAAGTAGAATCTGTACAGAAAATATTAAACTGTATTTATTTTTATTGGTTTTGTTTTTTTTTTAGCGTAGACACTATATTGATATTCCCTTTTTGCCAGAATTACTGGAAGTGCCTCTTGGTTTTATATATTTACATATATTCAAAATTATTATAATTGTGTCATAGCTGATCAATGTGGATGTTACAGTGTGAAGACAATGTGTAATATAAAAATGATTCTGTGGTATCATGCTTGATGTAGTTATTTGTGTGATCAAACCCTCCATTTCCCTCATATCCAAACACAAGGGCTTTGTACCCAATTTGGTCTGTAGTAAGACATCCAATGACCATCTTACAATTTCCCTGGGACCTTGGGAGCCTTGTATTCCCACGGTACCATTTCCTTCCCTATAGCTAATGAATTCTTAGTCATAGTTACCACCTAACTTTCTGCCACTAACCTATAACCTTGTCTAATCAAACAGCGTCAAACAAGGATAAACAAATTCCAAGCGTTCAGCTTCAGAATCCTATAAAATAAAGTGTATTTGTATTATAAGTCCTTGGGGTTGGAGAGATGGCTCAGCACTTAACAGCCCTTAGTGCTCTTACAGAGGGCCTGGGTTCCATTCCCAGCACCCACACAGCAGCTCAGAACAGTCTGTAGCTCCAATTTCAAGGGAGCCTATATCCTCTTCCGGCTTCTGCAGGCTCCTGTACATGTGGTATACATAGTCAGGCACGCCCACGAGAAAAAAAAAAAATCTTCATAAATCCTGACATCCTCTGAAGGGAATGGGTATGCAGCATGGAGCATTTTAATGAAGAAAAGTTAAAATGATTGGCATAAATTAAAAAGATCCAAGCCAAAAGAAAAGGGTGATACCCAGCACTGCCTGGATAGCCTTAGAGATGAGATTTGTGTGTCCCTGGTCCAGGAGCTCTGCGGATCGCCTGTATGCCTCCATGGGGTGGGACACAGCAATGACAACCTAATGAAGCAATTAGCTCCTAAGTGACTGGAAAACTTTCTGCTTGTTACAATAGACTGAAGCCGCCATCTTGCTTGCTTTCCTGCTGGAGTTGAAAGTTCTTTTGTCCTATCCTTGACTTAAAGAGGAAAGCCCAGGCCCACATTTACTGAAGTCATTCCAGCTTGAGTCCCATTAAGCTACTCTTGCTTTTGTCTAGAGAGCCGGATGGGATGAGGAGGGCCGGCTTCACACTGTGTGGTTCACACTGAAGGATGAAACAACTCCTTCAGGATGTTTTCAACTTGACTGGCTTTTCCCTGCCAGATTTTGGGCAGAGCTTCCTGTAAGGCTTGCGGCCTTGGTGTGTTGGAGATTTTGGAGTAAATAACAGTGATATTTTAGCTCTCTGTCTCTATGGTAAGTTGCTGCATAGTTGGTAACAATGCAATGCCAATTTGTTGCAGCTCTGTAGACATCTACAGATGGGCTTGGCTGGAATTTTTGTTTTGGGATCTCCAACAAATCCAAAATCAAGGTTTCTTACCAGCTTGGGTTCTTTTAGGAGGCTCCAGGCAGAATCTGCTTCCAAGCCGGTTCAGATTCTTGGCGGTGTTCAGTTCCTGGTAGTTCCTGGCCCGAGGTCCCATTTCCTTGTGGCTGTGGCTGGGGGCTGTAGACAGCTTCAACTGCTTGCATCAGCCATCTGCGCTCCTCCTAGTAGGTGCCTCCCTTGGCGTCCAGCCTCAGAACAGTAATGGTGCACCTTTCCTGTCTTAATTGAGACTCTCCAGAGGTATTGTGTCTGTTTCTTGCTGAGGAAAACAAATTTTTTTGGTCTTTTTGAGACAGGGTCTCCCTGTAGTCCCAGCTGTCCTGGAACTCACTATGTAGACCAGGCTGGCCTTGAACTCACAGAGATCTGCCTGCCTCTGCCTCCCGAGCGCTGGGATTAAAGGCGTGTGCCACCATCGTGGCTTTTTTTTTTTAATTAAAAAAAAAATTTTTTTTGAGGCAGGCTCTCATGTATCTGAGGCTATGTCCTGAGGATGATCTTGAATCTCCCACCTGCCCCGCTCTCATGTATCTGAGGCTATGTCCTGAGGATGATCTTGAATCTCCCACCTGCCCCACTTTCTAACTGCTGAGATTAGAGGTGTGTACTACCACACCTGGTTTATAAGGTGCTGAGGCGCAAACTCAGGGCTTCATGTGTGCTCGGTAAGCACTCTACCAACTGAGCTACATCCTCAGGCCCTGCTTTTAAGGATTCCCCTGAACTAAATAACCCAATATAATCTTATTTTAAGGTCCTTTATCTTTTTGAAAAAATATTTTATTATTTTTATTTTATGTGTATGAGTGTATTGCCTGCATGTAAGTGCACCTATGTTGTGCAGTGCCCATGGAAGTCAGAAGAGGGAGTCGAATCTCCTGGAATTGGAGTTACAAACAGTTGTTAGCTGCCATGCATGTGCTGGAAATCAAACCCAGGTCCTCTGCAAGAGCAGCCAGTGCTCTTAACCACTGAGCCATCTCTCCACCCCAAGTTCCTCAGTCTTCGATACATATGAAAAGTCACTCTTAAGAATGTTACTATATGGTTACAATTCCCATGAATTAGGGCATGGGTGTTTGAGAGCTATCATTATCCCTTCCACTGATCAGAGAAAGGACAAAGAATACAGTAAATTGAGCAAACGTCATTCCCTCATGCCCCTGACGAAACTGGTGGTTCAAAGACAAAAGCCAGCAAAGGCAATACCATCAGGGGAAAACTGGACTGTTCATCCTAATGAGATTTTGCACTTTGTTAGATGTGTCTTTGTCATGTCCTTTGGACCCTGGATTTCCCATAACTGATTCTCAGTAAGATTCACATTCAATCTGAGGTTTAAGAAGACTGGTTTGGGGGGGTTGGAGAGATGGCTTGGTGGTTAAGAGCACTGACTGTACTCACAGAGGACCTGGATTTGATTCCCAGAACCCACATAGCAGCTGACAACCATCCATAATTCTAATTCCAGGGGATCCGACGCCCTCTTCTGACCTCTCTGGGCATTGCACAACGTGGGTGTACTTACATACAAGCAGGCAATATACTCATACACATAAAATAAAAAGAATAATAGAATATTTTTTAAAAGAAGACTGGCTTTGTTCAGAAATAGAGACTAGATCAAAGGTGATGTTTCAAGCATTTAAGTTCCATCCAGGTGTTTAAAATGGCGTTTCTTTTTTGAGTCTGAATTATTGGTCACTGGTGACCATTTAAAAAATTCATTAATTCATTTGGGGCTTGAAAATTATGTTCTAATTTTCTCTCTTTTGCTTATTAGTATATGGAGAGAAATTTTTGTTTTAATAACTACTACATATATTGAGTAGGAAACTAATGGAACATGATACTCAAGCCCCATTTTTCCCTAAGCACCTCCACTTTTAAATATATTTAAGTTGTTACTTTTATCTGAGGTGATCATGTGATGCTTTTAAAGTGCAGACATTTTATACATTTCAACTCTTACAATTATTCATGCTCAAATTTTCCTACACTTGACTAACAGAAGCCTGTCAAGTTGGCTTCAGAGTTCTATTGACACAAGGACGTTTTCAAAGTCTCTCACGCTTATTCTAGAAGAAGACAGTCCAGGCCACATTGTATCTTCAGAGTTGGGGTCATTCTCATGACAAAGAATTGTTGTTCCTGAAGAGAGAAAGCTAGGATTAAGGGCCCAGGAAAGGAACAGGTCCCCATCAGTGGATTCTACAAACTGGGGTCATAAATCCCCTAAACAGAAAATCTTGGCTTCCACCAAACTGGGTGCCATGGAGTGCTCTAATCCATACCACATAGCTGCTACCCTGTATGAGACTCTGCCTAGAACTGGATGCTGATCAATCAGGACTGCCTTTATCTTGCATGACCCTCACTTTCATAGCAGAGATGATATACCTGGAAATCACATATACAGTGGCACATGCCTACCTTCCAGTGCTGAATGCATACCCATCTGGACTGCTGTCATCTACATGGCAGACACTGCATGCAAGAGGAGCCACATGCAAAGTGGCTTGCCCCACTACTTCTCCAAAATGAAGACCTACGGCCATTGTACTGTGCTGTTTGTTGCTACAACACCCACTCCCTCAATATACCAAGTAAACTTTTCTTTCTGTTGTGTGGTTGAAATGAATGAATTCTGAAGGCTGAGATCCCAGCAGACTGCCAGAGAGTGCCTGTTCTGGCCTCCCTCTGGCATGGGGGCTGATAACTCAGGGGACCACCTGAGAGCACCTGCATCCTGCCTCTATGAGGTGGTGAGTGTCCCCAAATCTCACCTTACTCAACCCCCAAACTGGGATCATGTGAGGCCCCTCCCAAAGACCCCAGGGAGACCTCTGCTCTTTGATAGGATAAGGCTGAGACCTTAGCAGACAGCCTGAGAGGGCCTGTTCCAACCTCCATCGGTGTAGGGGCTGAGATCTCAGCAGACCACAAGAGAGTGCCTGTTCTGGCCTTCCTCAGGAATAGGGGCTGAGAGCTCAGGGGGCTGCCTGACAGTTCCAAAATCGCTCCCCCTTAGGGAACACCCCAAATTTAGGAAGGGGTACAAACCTTAGAAGGAAGCCTGACTGGAACCTGACTTGTTCTTCTGTGGGAGCTCCTGAATAGCTGATCTGAAGCCATCATTTCCCTCCAAAATAAAACCTGAAAGAACCTGAAGCCTGGACCAATCAGATTTATATAACCAATAATAAAAGGACCAAGGCACACGAATAATACAAACAGAAGCAAACTTCAACTTAATTTTCATATCAGAATCACAACAAAAGAAATTTATGTTGGGGACCCCTGCTGTTTAGGGTAGCAGTCTCCCCATGTCCGGATAGCCACAAGCTGGCTCGGTGTAAATGGGGAGACTCCCCTTCTCAGCGGGGCGCCTTCTGCTCTCCTCCCTGACTTACTTTTGAAATGCCCGTCACAAGATACATACCCTCCGGCACAGGAGCTACCAGGTTTTAATCAGGCATTGTCTGATAGCCTGATAGAAGCCCACCACCCTATGTAAATGAGGCATCCTAAAAGTACCTATCAGCTAAGGCTTCTTCTACTGTCTCCACACTATAAATAGTCCTAGTTTTACCCCAATAAAG